CTGAACTGTATTTGCAAGACTGTAGCTTTGGCCATACTTCTAAAATACTTTGAAGCTTGACTGCATGGGGGGTGGAACAGTCAGCTCCATAGTGAATATGAGTACTATTTCATGTAGCACCTGCTCTCATTGCAAACAAAAATGCAAACTTAAATATTTCTTGTTGAAAAGATCCATGACAATGTGAATTTAGTTCTTAACTGTATGTTTTAATACTGAAAACGCAAACTTTTAGTTTACTTGACATTCAACAAACTAAACTGTGGAAAATTGCTGCTCTCTGCTCTATGCTGTAGTTTGCAAAAATGCAAAGTAAGAGAGAACTGTATTTTCTCCACAGTTTTTCTCCGTGGAATCCAGCTATACATGATGAAGCTAGAGAGAAGATGTTGAGTCAAAAGGTATGCATGAAGTCCAGATTCTGCCTATAGTTAAGGGTTTATGCCTGATAAGGGAAGAAAGGTTCTCTGTCTCGTTGTGATGAACATGTACTAGACAGACCTTATTCCACCCCTCTTTTGGATCAGCAGGTGTGCTGAAACTGATTTGCTCTCCTAACAAAGCAGTTATGTCACTGTTCTCACTTCAGTGTGTTAAGCAATTACTCATTTAGCCAGCTAGAAAGCTTTGTTAGTACAATTGTTGGAACACTTGGCAGATTTTTTTGTTGTTGTTGTTGAGGGGTGGAAGGGAGAGAAGAAGGGGAAAGATGATTTGCTGACTGCCTGTTAGCTTCTCCTGCACTTGTCATGGCCATTACTACTTCTGCATAACCTGGCAGTGCCCAACTTCTTGTTCTCTTCTGTTGAGAGACCTTTCATTAATGAATCTAAAGCTTCAGGGCTTGCTTCTCATTCCCAACTTATGAAGCAGCACATCTTTGGAGATGCAGGTCAATTTCTTTTTAAGTGAAAACTAACATCTTTGGTAACTATTGCATGTATGGTACTTGAGTTGCTTGGGTAGTTTGTTGACAGCAGGAATGGCCAAACTTCTGTGCCGTAGGAGATTTTTTCCAAAATGTCAGTGTAGCTGAGAACGTTCTTTTCCTTCTCTGTAAAAAGAAGTTCTCTAATCCTGTATCCTGTCTTTCCCTCCTTCTGCAACCCTGGATCCACGGTGTATTACCCTTGTAATTCCTATGCCTTGGGAAACAACTAAGCCATTCTAGAACTGAAACCCAGGAAAGGCTGTGATGTCCCAGTTCCCTGCTGAGCATGTGGGTTTTGCTAAAAGATGACCTGTGTGCAGCATGTGATTTGTGGTACACTGCCAGGCTCAAGCCTAATTGATCCCTCTTGTTTCCTGCTATCTGATGTGTTCTGGCAATTCTGTCATGCAGTGTCACCTCTTACACAAAACATGGGGAGGGACAAAAGAAGTGCAGGTTCAGTTTTCTTACTGACGTAATTTACTTTTGTCAGGCAAAAGGCTTCCCATAGTATGACAAAGTCTACTCACATAATTATCCCTTTCTAGAACTTGATGCGTCATGCCAGGTTTGATGTAGTTGGCATACAGATGATCTGATGAGCCTATAGCAGCGTGGAGGCAGGGCTAGTTCCTGGTATGCAAAAAAAAGATGCAATCTGTTCTGTTTCTTTGACCTGCTAGAGTAGGTATCTAATTTACTAATCTTCTTAAACTACTGTAAGTCTGCAGATGCTTGAAGTTGCACCTTTCTCCCTCAACTTGAAGTTTGGGGCGTTTTTTTTGGTGGTGTTTTTTTTTTTTTTGGTCTCTTAAATTCCTAAATTGCAATAGCCAGCCTCAAATGTTTGTTGCACTGTGTTGGGTAGAAATAGTTACTGTTCAAGCATTTCGCTATGATAAATGCTCAGGGAAGGGAAGGACCATCATTGGAAAGCAGTGGAAAAACTCCATTGTATAGCAAAGGTATCAGTTGCTACTTTGCCACGTTAATTTGCGTTCAGAAGCTGTCAGCGGGATGGGGTGCTCCTCCACAGTATGCCCAGCATCGCAGGGTAGTATGCCACGATTATAACGTCAGGGTAATGACAGAAATGTTCTGATTTGGATTGACGCTTCTCTCTGTAGAACCAAGGAATTTGGCCAAGAGTGGTGCTGGGCCACGGCCTTCAAGCAAAAGGCACTATTCCAAGAGTATCTGTTAATATTTATGGTACGACGGGGTAGCAGTACATGAACGAAGTCATTAAAACTCTCCTGTAATGTCAGGGTAGTTCTATGGATGCCACACACATTCACAGAAATTGGAGCATTCTAGCTAATGAATTCTCTTATGCTTGTATTTGCCAAAGGTAAAATGGATGGGGAGGGACTTCAGTGGGTTTAGGGTATCTAACAATTCTGACTTTAACTTTCTTCTACCTAGAAGAAGCCAGAGGATCAGCACTGCAAAAGCACGCATGTTTCTGGCCTGTCATGGGTAAAGCCTGGCTCAGTTCAGCCTTTCAGCAAAGAAGAGAAGACGATGCCTACTTAGCCCTTCTGGACTATGGTGCACAAAACACTTTCTGTGGGTGGAGGGAATGTAATGGAGGGAGAAACAGCAAAGCAGCAGTTTCCTTCTTCACTATGGATTAGTAGAAACTGAATGGTAGCAGTGACTCCAGTAGACCTGTTCGGTGGATTATTGACTCTTAATGTTTTACATATGCATTAGGTTTTAAAGGCTTGCCTGGAGTTTGGAAGTCTCTCTTGAACACTGCAGTACTTCTACCTGACAACTGTCTAGGGTGGGTAATTCCTCAGGGCTCTGAAATGCCTGGAGGATTTGGGTTGGTTTTTAAGCTTTTATTTTTTCCCTCCAGGAATAGCAATGTTTTTTAAAATCTTAAATTACTGGCAGAAATATTAGCATTGGAAATATGATGCCAGAGGTAAGCTGTGTTCATGTAAACTAATATAGCAGAGTTAAACACTATATTTAATGGTTTTAAATACTTCGGTTTCTATTGTAAATATATTAGGATTTGAAATTGTAAATAGACGGTTCATTGACTCCATTTAGCACTTTCCAGAGGTAAAGCTGGGGATAATGTATGATGTATTATTGATTTGTAAATGGATATTGTCACTAAAGCGCACATTAGTCTGACAGGGTGAAAGCAGAATGTCAGGCTTGTTGGACTTTGTAATTACATAAACACTAAAATCAAAGCTTTTAACGGTGGTCTCTTAAGCAAATAAAATCTTAGAGGATTTTAGATTCCCTAGGTGTCTAGGGGATTATGTAGTATAGCTTGACTAATGTGTGTTAATAGTGACATGTTAAAATAAAAAGAAACCATGATCTAGCTTTTGTCCCTCTGTTTGTCTATGTTGTAGACATGTAGCAAAGACTGGAACCGGGATGGAAGCACCTGGCTACATACGTACTTTGCTGCATAGGTGTTCGGGATGTTAATGGGCTAACAGGATGTCCTGAAGAGACGTGTTAAATTCTGTTCCACGTGCAGGAAAACCTTACTAAAGCATGTGTGAACTCGGGACAGAATCTTCCACTTTTCACAGGAGTCTTCCTAGTGTCATAGCCTAGTGTAATGCCTTATTCTTGCCCAAGAGGAATTTCCTGTCAAAACCTGTGATGTTAACCCTTTACAGCTGGGCTGCATTTTCTTTGGCTTCTCATACCTCTGCTGGTGGTTTTGTATTACTAATGCAAACCTTATGTAACAAGTAGTAGCGACTTCATATATAAATGGGACATGGTGTTTGGGGAGGGTGGGGAGCGGTGTGGTGTTTTGTTTATTGTCATGTAATAACCTTTCCCTGTTCCCTTTGAAAACAACTTCTTAGCCCTCACGTAAATAGACAAAAGACTTCACACGTAATATGCAATCGTATATCAACTGATTAATTCAATGGACTGTTAAGGATGACTTGAGTGGGTTCTGTGCAGCACTTAACATTGTATAAATTAAGTACTTATTCTGTTTTAGGTAGTGTTGAGATATAAATGCATGATGTTGCTTCAGACCTTTTAAAGCTTCTGCCTTTGCGATGCAGCGGTTTCCTGGGGCTGCCTGGAGTGTCTCTAGTACTACTGGAATTCCTCCTTAGACAGAAGGACGCAGAGGGTATGCGGGGAGCAAGGATCCTCCTCTTTAAGGCAGAGAAGGAAGTGTATCCAAAGGTGCATTTCTTGGCACTACTCCTTCCCCTTTAACTCCCTGTATCTTATAAAGTGTCTGTTACAGGACTGAGGTTCTGGACTAAATGCTACAGTGTTCTTTCTGAACCTTAGTATGTCCGTTTATACTCAGTGCAATAAGAGTAATCTAATTTAGAGTGGCTCCTTCCTAAACAAATTCAAGTTTAAAGTAAGAGGAATTCTACGCCTAAGTTACCAAAGCCAGTGCTTCTGAACAAGCTATTTGCAACGGCTTTCTGAAAGCTCTTGCTAGCTCTGTATACGTGAGGTATGGGTCTCTCTAAACGGAAGACTCTGGTCACGTGAACTAGTACGGCAGGTTTAAACATACTGAGTGGCTTTAAATGCGCTGGGGTGTTTTTTATTGTACGCTGTATTTAAAGTAGTGGTTGAGTGCAGATCTTCTAAAGGGATACTTTTGCCAAGGCGAGGCAATCACTGGGTGAGATGCCTGTGACTTGGTATGATGCTGTAGGGCAATTAGCTCAGAGTAAACTCAGTTCCTACTGTCTTCAATGCAAATCTGTCTTCCCTAGTTCAGAGCTCAAAGCTCAATCCAACTTTGTTATGAGGCTGAGATGATGTGCTAAGGCAGTGGTATTTAAAAATGGATAGGGAAATCTAGAGCAAACGTGCAGTCTTCAAGTGGCTCTCTGAAGTTTGCTGCTGGTATGTTTTCAGACCATTGCAAAGTCATTACTAGAATAATTCTGTGTATTTCCCCTACGTCGGTATTGCCATGTCATCCCCAGAGAAGCTAATCACAAACAATCCCGCACTGTGATATATCCGTAACTAGAACAAAGCCAACAGACTTGGTGTAGGATGTTTTGCTGTTTGAGTCTTGAAGCAGTGGCTACTGTTAGGAGAAGCACTAGATCTGTTTCTACAGCAACACTGGAAACCAGCAAGAGAACGTCAAACTAAATGTTGCTTTCTTGCTAGCAGTGGTGGCTTGTTGGAGCAAAAGGTTCAACTCCAAACCTCAAAATAAACCTATGCAAATAATGGATTGGAGATTTTTGTGGTGGTTTCTCTTTTTTCCCATTCCCACCCCTTGGGAAGGAAGGAGTGGGGGAAGGTTTAGGGCTTGCAAGAACTTTGCTCTTAAGTATTTTTTTGAAAAAACATGTCACATCAGAAGCAAACTGTTAAGTCCTGTCTTCAGGTCAAAAACTTTGAGGAGAGTGCAAAATTCTGAATTGGCACTTGGATTTTGTGTACCCTTTCCTGTAGTAGGAACATTCTACCTCTTTATTTAAAGATGGTTTTTCTAACGTTGTTTTTGCATTCTTTATCTTGCATGCTAAAGCTAATTGTGAGAACAGGACTGGGATGGCAGATAGCTGTAACCCTTTGATTTTTTTTTTTTTTTCCCCGTGTGTCAGTATAGAAAAGAAGCAAAAACCTGTGGATCTTGGAAGAAGGCGAGTTTTTTCTCTCTGCTGTTCCTGTTGCCAGCTCTGTGATGACATGTGCAGAAAGACTTTCTGTCCTTCCCTCTCTTCCTTACCCGCCACAGGAAAGCAAAAGGAAGCAGAAACCTTCTGGAGCAGTTGTGTAGTGCCAGAGCTGTTTCTCGAAAAGCTAGTGAGTAACAGTGACAGAGCATGAGAACGTGTGTGTGTGTGTGTGCGCGCGCGCGCATGTGGTTTTCTTCCTATGTGAGGATAACTGGAATGAATATCTGGGCACCTGGCCCTTTCCTGCTCCAGTCCTTCTGATTGGATGAGCTTTATGAAACTACTGCCAGCGTAAGACAGGGGTTTGAAACTTAATTTTTTAGTCTTTCAAAGCGAAGAATGTCATTCTTACTCTGTACTGTTGACCACACAAGCTGTCTGGCCCACCTCTGCCAGCGAGAGGGAAATCCTGTGGGCCGGGAGGCTGTGCATGCCTACTCTCGAGTGCGGTGTGTTCCCTGAGGTGGCGCGTTAAGTGTGTGCAGGCAGCACCTGTGGCAGCTCCGCAGCAAGCTCCGGGCTTCATCTCCCAGCATGGATGTGGTTGCTTCGCCCTGGGATCTTTGCTGAAGGGGTCGAAGACCATGTCCACCCCTCGTGGAAAAGGGTGAGTGATCTCGCTGCTGAGGGAGGGAGGGAGGGAGGGGGGGGGGGGGGGGGGGGGGGGAGCCACTCTCAGAGAGGCAGTAGTGGGGAATCGGTGTCTTGCTCAGCCTCCCTCTTGTACCAGAAGAAAAGCTCATAGGTAGTGCAGGGCAGGGCTGTAACAGTGGCTGTAGTGTGGGACGTCCGTTGTTTTCTATCTCAAGTACTTCTGAAATACTCTACTCTGTACAAGTGGAGGCTGCTTGAACGGCCATTTTGTAGAAGCGAAGGCCTGCGTGCTTGTGCACATAGGGTTGAAGAAGGGAACTGGCCAAAGATCTTTTGTTCTCAAAGGTGTGCTTAGGTTGTTGGGCTCATTTTGCTTTTTGCATGCTTGCAGTTCTGTGGATCTGAAGGCAGTGCACATGGGGAACAGCCTTTCTCTGCGTAGCTGGGGCAGGAGTTCAGCTGCTCGTTCAGTCTGGTTTAGATCCCTGCAATCCTTTTAGATATCTTTCTTGAGATCTCTTGTTTAGTGCTGTGCCTTGCAATTTGTATGGTTAGGAAGGGAATGTGCAGCTTGCACCCTCCTCAGCACTTTCTGCCCATGGAAAGGGGTGGACGTGTGGCGTAACATACCTAGGAGCGCTTGCAGCAGCCGCAGCTTAAATCACACTACTTCTGGGAGTGACTGACAACTGCTTGACAACTAGCTTAATACTTGGGAAATGTTTCTTTTGTTGCACTCTTACCTTTTTCTTGCTTCTTGTGCAGCTGATTGCTATTTAAAAAAAAAAAAAATCCTTCATATGGTGTTTCTGGCTTTTGTTATTTGCATGCTAGGGAACAGATTTCTGATAATCCTAAATATGTGTTTGTTCGATTCCACTCCATCTTCCATGTCATCTGCCACTGGTTGTTCACCTTTCTAACAAATTCATGGTTTTGACTCGGGCATGACCCTGCTATTGAGCAGCTTGCTTTCAGTAGCCCTTTTCTGCTAGGGAGGTCTCTAGAATGGGGTTCAGCATAGTAACGTGGTGTTGGACTTGTAAAAACTTGTGAGAGAAACAGCCAGCTTCCTTGTAACTCAGTACAAAGGGAAGAGAGGTGGCCCTGTGTCACGTTCCTTGGGCAGCTGTCTCTCCTGTATGGCATTCGGGCCCCCGTTAGCAGGGGTTTGTTCGGGTGTGTTTCGGACATCTGGCAGGTTAAGAGGAATTGCAAGTGCCTTGGAGTTGCCAAATGCCTGTTTTGAGTTTGCAGTAGAAAAACAGGAACGGAGGAACTGACCTGAAAGCTGAGCATGTATTGCCTGGAAAGCGGTGATGTGGTTTTTTCAAGGGCTAGTGTACCGGCCTGGGGTGTGGCAAGTAAAACGCTGTGAACATTAATTCTGTTGCTGCTGTTATTTCTCTTGCACTTTTCTGGGGAAGGCTGAAATGGAAATAGAAATGCTTCAGACTTAGCATTAGAGAAGTTCAAAGGACTCTTGTGTGAAGCAGAAAACAGGCCTAGCATTGTGACTGAGCATGGTGTACAGAACTAGAGCGTGAAATGGGAACGTGGTGGGTCCTCTTTGGTTGGTTTTTATGATTGTTCAGACGCCTTTGTAATAAATCAGTGACTTGAGAACGTCCGTAGTCACTTAGGTGCAGGACTTGCGTAGAAGTTTAATCCCTTCTAATCTTGGGATGCCCTTTCATCCCCGCTGCGGCAGGTGCAGCGCGGGCCTTGACTCCTCCTGCTGTACAACGCAGAAGAGCGACCGTATCCCCACGCTGGCTGATGGAGGGGAGCTAAACATGGAGCCAGCTCTGGTAGTGGTTACCCAGTGTCTATTGGTCCGACTTGCTGGGGTTTAGAAAACACCACAGTGAAAGATGGGTAAAGACAGTGACGTAGTAAAAATGATGGTTAGTGGAGTAAGTCTTGTTTATCTTTTGAGCTGTTATGCACAGCTGTACGTCTGGTGAGTAGGTTGGAATGCGCTGAGCTAAATCCATGCTAATAGCAGTTTGCGGAAAATAAAGTAATTTTATTTAATTTCAAGACTGCTGAATTTTGTTTAGCTTAGAATGAAGAGTCTGAATTT